GGGTATTCGGTGTTGTTGTTGGCAAAGCTCTCTGCTGTACGTACACCCGATCCGCCATCTTGTTTGTTCCTCCCAGACAGATACCTTTTATCCCTAATTCCTTCTGTGTATATTCTTAAGATTAGGGTTATTAGTCGACCATGGTATCGTTATAAAAGGTAGTAAATTTAATATATATGCAATATTTTTATTCCCAAGAATGTTCCTTTGTCACATATTGTTCCCTCCAGTACAGATACCATCAGACTACATTTAGATGTCAGGCCTCTTTAGATCGCTTTAATCTGGGACATCTCCACTGTGAAGGCTTTTATGTAATAAAGATGAAGAGCCTCTGCTCAGATCTTTCCTGTTGAGCAGCATGGGAAACATTTAAAACAAAAATGAAAGAAGGGAGATGGAGGGTGATCTCATCCAGAGTTGTAAATTCAAAGACCCTTTTCTCTTCTTGGATATTTTATTAGTTTTATTGGACTCAGAACTGGTACCACCCACCAGTAATATGCAGATGTACATTTATCCTAAGCGCTTGTCAGTTTGTATGACTTTTTACTGGTTTGGATGTACATAATTGTCTAGATTTGAAATTCTCTGGTTGGTAATAATACCCGAAATTTAGAAAATAATTCTACTTGCAATTCTTTGTGTGAGGTATCTGCTCATACTTTTGGACATTTAAAAAAAATCTGTTTAGAACATTTTAGAATTGTTTCATATTCATTTATATCACTGGTTGTATTTTCTCTGACTTATCTGTTGCAATATTTTTTCCTTGCTCCTTTCGTTGCTTTGTCCTTTACTTTTCACATTCACATTCATTGTACTGATAATGGCCTCATTAAGGGATTGAAAACATCATTTATACACTTTGGCACTAGTAGGCTTTTAGATCAGAGCATTGTTTCCTCAAAAGACCCTGAGTCAGAGGCCCAAGCATCTTGAGAACAAGTTTGTCCTGGGTCTCTTGAGCCTTCATGATTTTCTCTTTCCATAGCTGGACACAGAGTATAGAAAAAAATGGGACGCTCTGGTAATCAAGCTGGAGGTGATCGAGAGGGATGTGGTTAGTGGTTCTGAAGTTCTTCACTGGGTAACTCATTTTCCCGTAAGTATGTTTACTTCTGGTTTTACTTTCTCAAGGCTGTTGGATGCACAACACTAATCTTTCCTGTCCATTTCTTTAGTACCCGATGTATTCACGGGATTATGTTTACGTTCGACGGTACAGCGTGGATCAGGAAAACAACGTGATGGTATTGGTGTCACGGTATGTATGACAGGCTGCGGCTCTCGCTGAGTTCCTTCAGATGCGTCTGTCCTTTGTTCATCTGTGTCTGTGGTGGGAGTTTGTATATTCTTAGCACCCTTCTGCGTTCTCCCATATGATTCCCCACAGCCAGTGCCTCACCCTTTTCTAGGTAGAAGTGAGTGTTCTCTGTGGCTCTCTAGGAAGATTGTTGTTAATAACAGGGAGTTGATTCCGACTCATAGCAACCCTTTAAAAGGTTTCCAAGAAGTGCTTGGTGGGTTTGAACTTCTGACTTTGTGGCTGGCAGTCCAGTGCTTATTTTACTGTGTGACATAAACCCTCATGAGTCACAAATGTACTATAGGACCATACTTAAGTTTTTGAACTTAGTTTGTTTTGTATTCACTCATCCTAGTAGAGATCATCTGAAGAACAGATTTGATGAATTAAACACTAAAGACCAAAGACCAGAAGAGTTGTGGGATGACATCAAGAATATCATACATGAAGAGAGCAAAAAGTCATTAAGAAGACAA